TTTGGGGTTTGGGATACAGGAACGGCGAGGTCAGCAAGAACGAGGTGCTGGAGATCATCACGGTGAGGAGAACATCCACAATGAGGGGTTTGGGGTGAGAAATGTGAGATTTGGGGTTTGGGATACAGGAACGGGGAGGTCAGCAAGAACGAGGTGCTGGAGATCATCACGGTGAGATTGGGGTGAGAAATGGCAGATTTGGGGTACAGGAACGGAGAGGTCAGCAAGAACGAGGTGCTGGAGATCATCACGGTGAGGAGAGCATCCAGAATGTGGGGTTTGGGGTCAGAAACGGGAGATTTGGCGTTTGGAAATATGAGATTTGGGTTTGGGGTTTGGGATACAGGAACGGCGAGGTCAGCAAGAACGAGGTGCTGGAGATCATCACGGTGAGATTGGGGTGAGAAACGGGAGATTTGGGGTTAGAAAATGAGGTATTTGGGGTTTGGGATGCAGGAACGGCGAGGTCAGCAAGAACGAGGTGCTGGAGATCATCACGGTGAGTTTGGGGTCAGAAATGTGAGATTTGGGGTCGGGGATGGCGGGAACGGCTCGGCCTGAGAGGAAATTCAAGGTTTGGATTTGGGGTTTGGGGTTTGGGACGGGATTGAGTCATCCCAGGGGAAATTCAGGATTTTGGGGTTGGAATTTGGGATTTTGGGGAAGTTCTCCGGGCTGGGGATGGGATTGGCTCATCCGGAGAGGAAATTCGGGATTTGGGGTTTGGGATTTGGGGACATTTTGGGGATATTTTGGGGATATTTTGGGGACATTTTGGGGATATTTTGGCAGATATTTTGGGGGTATTATGGGGATATTTTGGGGATATTTTTGGTATATTTTAGTGGATATTTTTGGGACATTTTCAGGATATTTTGGCAGATATTTTGGGGATATTTTGGGATATTTTGCGGATATTTTCAGGATATTTTGGGGATATTTTGGCAGATATTTTGGGGGTATTATGGGGACATTTTGGCGGATATTTTAGTGGATATTTTGGGGATATTTTGGGGATATTTTNCCCCAAAAACACCGGCAAAAAACGCCAAAATCACCCCAAAAATATCCCACAAAAATCCCACCCAAAAACTACCCAAAATCACCCCAAAAACACCGGCAAACAACGCCAAAATCACCCAAAAAATATCCCACAAAGAACACCAAAATCCTGCCCAAAAATACCGGCAAAAAACGCCAAAATCACCCCAAAAATCCTGCCTAAAACCACCCGGAATCACCCCAAAAACACCGGCAAACAACGCCAAAATCAACCCAAAAATCCCGGCAAAAATCCTGCCCAAAATCACCCCAAAAACCCCGGCAAAAAATGGCAAAATCACCCCAAAAATTCCACCCAAAATCCTACCCAAAACCACCCGGAATCACCCCAAAAACACCGGCAAAAAATGGCAAAATCCTGCCCAAAAATCCCCACAAAAATCCCACCCAAAATCCCCCAAAATCACCCCAAAAATCCCACTTAAAAACCCCCCAAAATCACCCCAAAAATACCGGCAAAGAACGCCAAAATCACCCCAAAAATCCCACCCAAAAACTACCCAAAATCACCTCAAAAATCCCAGCAAAAAACGCCAAAATCCCGCCCAAAAATCCCCCCAAAATCCCCCCAAAAATCCCGGCAAAAAACACCAACATCACCCCAAAAATCCCCACAAAAATCCCACCCAAAAACTACCCAAAACCAACCCAAAAATCCCGGCAAAAAACGACAAAATCACCCCAAAAACCCCGGCAAAAAACGCCAAAATCACCCCAAAAATCCCACCCAAAAACCACCCAAAATCACCCCAAAAATACCGGCAAAAAACGCCAAAATCACCCCAAAAATCCCCCCAAAAACCACCCAAAATCACCCCAAAAATCCTGCTCAAAAACCACCAAAATAACCCCAAAAAACTACCAAAATCACCCCAAAAGTATCCTCCAAAAAACCACCATAATCACCCCAAAAATATCCTCCAAAAAACCACCAAAATCACCCCAAAAATCCCCGAAAAAAAACAGCAAAATCATCCCAAAAATCCCACCTAAAAAACCCAAAATCACCCCAAAACTCCCGCCCAAAAAACACTGAAATCACCCCAAAAATCCCCCCAAAAAACCACCAAAATCACCCCAAAAATATCCTCCAAAAAACCACTATAATCACCCCAAAAATCCCACCCAAAAAACCCAAAATCCCCCCAAAACCTCCCTGGAAAACTCCAAATAACCCAAAAAACCCCAAAAA